ATATTTGTTTACCTGATTATTTTAAGAAACATAATTTTTAAAGTTCTGGGCCTTGGATCTTAGCCCTAGATATTACCCTGGGTTAATTTTATGATTTGGGTAGAGGAGTCAGGAGGACAGGATTGAATCTCTTAGAATATCATTTGGAAATTCTTATTTAGTTATTTTTTTATTATACTGTCATTCATAAAATGTTATAACTTTACTGCAAAAATTTTCAACAAGTCAGCTATAATTTTACTTTTCATTTCATTTAAGTAAACGTCTATGCAGAAAACAGAAGGGGTAACCTAACCATATGGTGCACAACTACCATGTAGAAACATGAAAATTGCATGACACCCTATATTTTCTGCCCACTCTTCTTTCATTCAGACATGAACAAGGAGAGCTGACTGAGTTTTTGAGCCCCCTGGGATGTGAATGGATTCTTGTCTGAGTGAAGAGAAGGCCCAGTTTAGCAGCAAGTGTGGTTTTTCATCTCCTTGCCATTTAAAAGCATTCCAGCTAACTTTCCACATCATCTTAAATTTAATTATAAATTCTCAGAAGAAAGGAACCAGTGATGACTCAGTATAAAACTAACTTTTAACATTATCATTTAAAGAAAGTAATATAGTGGCCCATTTCTTTGCCCCTTGAGTTGAGGTCATGTTGTCTTAAACTTTCAGGAAGGAACTGCTCTTCTTATATGTTAGTATAGGACTAAGAGAATATGTCTTTTTATTCCAACCCTGAGGGAGCCACAGAGAACAGGATAAGTCACCCTTTGAAGAGTCTCTCACACATTTTAATGACATTTAATTGACAACATTATTGATATCATCTTGTTTTTGTTTGTTTTTCATATTCTTTACTTCCAAATATTGAATTATTTCATCAGTGATATATATCCTTGTATATTATATAATATATATCCAATGATTATATATATTTTATTCTGATAATTTATATATTATTATAAAACTTCAGGGAGTGACATCCTGTTCTCTGTATCTCCTTCAGGATTTATGTAATATATAAATTAGTATATATAATTTATATATCATGTAATAATTTACATAATAGATTTTATTTATTATATAAACAAATATTATACTCCACATTAGATATATAACATATATATTATGTTATCTTATGTATAATATATATCGTATATATGATAGTCCACAATGATAAGATATATTTTTGAGGACATAACACATCTGCTTTCAAAATTTTATACATTAAGTACTAGGCACATATACACTTAACACTCAGTAAATGCATTTCAACACCCCCCAGGGTGTGGAAAGGAAAAACAAGCTAACTGGACTTGCATATCATTCTCAGGCAATGGCATTTAATTCTTTATAGTTGGATTGTGATTCTTTTCAATCATAAAACTTAATGAACAAAGCTATTCTTTTTTTTTTTATTTCAGCATATTATGGGGTACAGATGTTTAGGTTACGTGTGTTGCCCTTGGTTCCCCGCCCCCCAAGTCCGTGTTTCAAATATGTCCATCCTTCAGGTAGTGCGCATTGCACTCCTTGTGTATACAAATACCCGTACAAAGCTATTCTTAACTTATCTACTTCATGGAATTGTTCAATGGACTCTGAATGTAAGCTCATTTTTACACAGGTTTTATCTTTGAAAATGTTCATCGTGGAACTACATTGTTCTAAACTGATTTTTTAAATCTAAAAGTCACATTGTTTATTTTCTATACACATTTCTCATTTTTTTTCAAGACAGCCTTGCAGAAAAGCATCTTAAAATGTGAGTTCTATTTTCCCCTTGGTTTTAAATGACTATAATAGCACTATGTACACAGAGCCAGTATTATTTTGTTGATTAGCTATGTATTATGTGATAAAAGTATTTTGATGAAGATAAAACAGATTAGAAACTTAGTCCTCATTTTGTAAAATAGCACACAAACAATTAAAATGTGGTATTATACTCTAAAAGCAGTTTTCCATTTGCCAAATATCTGTGATGAAAGATTAAATAGGTGAAGCAAAGTATTCCATAGAGAAGTGAGGAAAATGTTATTTTTCTGGCTTTACTGAGGTATGATTGACAAAAATTGTATAAGGTAAATTATTGGATTAATATCTTTTTTTAATTTCAAAATATTGCAGGAATACAAAAGTTTCTGGTTACATGGATTTTTTTGTAATGCTTGAGTCAGGGCTATAAGTGTGCCTATCACCCAGATAGTGTTCACTGTACACATTAGATAGGTTTTCGCCCATCCCCTTCTCCTCCCTCCCTCTTGCTTGATTTCCACTGTGTTTTACTTCCCTCTGTGCACATGTCTGCTCATTGGTTAGTTCCAATTTAATAGTGGGTATGTGTGGTGTTTGTTTTTACGTTATTTAGATACTTCATTTAGGATAATGGTTTCCAGTTCCATCCAAATTGTTGCAAAAGGCAGTAATTCATCCTTTTTTATGGCTGAGTAGTATTTCATGGTATACATATGCCACATTTTATTAATCTACTCATGAATTGATGGGCACTTGGGTTGATTCCACATCTTTGCAATTGTGAATTGTGCTGCAATAAACATTTGAGCACAGGTGTCTTTTCAATAAAATGACTTTTTTTTCCTTGGGTAGATATCCAGTAGTGGGATTGCTGGATCAAATGGTAGATCTACTTTTAGATCTTTGAGGAATCTCCATACTGTTTTCCATAGAGGTTGTACTAATCTGCTGTCCCACCAATAGTGTATAAGTGTCCCTTTCTCTTTGCATCCACATCTGCATCTATTGTTTATGAACTTTTTAATAAAAGCCATTCCAACTGGGTTAAGGCAATATCTCATTGTGGTGTTAATTTGCGTTTCCCTGATTATTAGTGATGTTGAGCATTTTTTCATGTTTGTTGAGTATTTGTCTATCTTCTTTGGAAAAGCTTCTGTTCATGTCTTTTGCCAACTTTTTAATGGGATTGTTTGTTTTTTTCTTGCTGATTTGCTTGAGTTCTTTGTAGATTTTGGTAATATCTTTATGCTAAAGTAAAATAATTTTCATTTGTAGTTCTGCATTAT